TCTCTCTCTCTGTCAAATAAATAAATAAAATCTTTAAAAAAAAAAAAAATTAAAAAAAAAAAAACAACTTTCTACTTTGTGGATAACTATTTTCATTATTTTGTACTATGAAAACACTCATGAAAATAATTTAAGTCAAAGAAATAGATTAAAAAAAGGCAATAGATAAATAAATTAATTCAGCAATAAATTTGAATTTCAAGTCCTAAGGCCATAATATAAGTGTAAAATTTTTTTATCTTTTCCATATATTTCTTTCGATTGCTGGGTTGTCTCAACCAAATCAAACCATGTAACTACTGTATTATTGACACTTGATCAATCTTAGTGACTAAGTACTTAGATCTAAGTATTGAGATTGCTTTAAAATCATTTCTATTAATAAACTTCACATATAAAGGACAAATGATATTCAAACCAGACCTATTGATGTTTTAACCATTAATGTTACTGTTTTATTAGCACTTTTTTCTTTTTTGGTCAATTTATTTACAAGAGAGTAAACGTTGAAAAGATTTACCTCCTTTGCTTTCCATAATTCATATGGGACTTTACTGTCTGCCACTGACTGATCCTTTGGAGAATGTTGCCAATCTCTCACCTAGATTTTCAAGCTATTCTCCCATCATTTAAGCCAAAGGCACTGATGTATTCCAAGGTAGCGAGGACACAAGTGAGATCAGGCATGCTCAATCACGGACTTCTTGAGGCTTACCTGAAAACCAGTTTAGTTGCCTTTTCCGGGTCTCTCTTTGTGTTTCATGTGGGTTCCCCAGAGATTGAATGGGAAAGCAGAATCCTGCTGGCAGTGCCCTTTCTGCTTGGGGACTTTCTATCACCCCACTTCCTGCAACCCCCTAACCCTAAGGCCCCTCCTTACCCCACTCCATCCCAGTTCTCAGCCCTTAAAACAAATGGATCCAAAATGCAACTCACGGGCACTCCTGGCATTCCACGGGGGCCATCTTTCCCTGTGTCCCCTGGAGGCCCTCTTGGGCCAGGGGGCCCTGGGGGTCCTGGAGGCCCAGCCTGTCCTTGGTCACCCTGTAATGGAGAAGGGAACAGACCAACGATGACCATGAAAGATAAAGACCCAGGTCTTCTTTTCAACACTTTAAATTTGTATTATCTAATCCACATTTACACTATGAAAAGAACCAGAACAATCAGAAACATGAAGCCTGTAGGCAATTTGCCTGCCAGCAGGGAGCAAATAAATATTCATGCTGGGCGAGCTGAGTAGATGCTATTAAAATCAAAGGAGCTCAGGAACCAGCACTCTCAGCTCTTGGAAATAGTGTGTAAGTTATCATGATAGTCAGAGCTGGTATAAAACTTTTGCATAACTTGATTCATGACAATGCTGCATCAGTTATATTCATCTTAATAAAATGGCTGCATTTGTGGTTGGACAAATGTGTTTACTTTTTCACAACTTATAAAATTAAACATACAAGCTCTTGTCAAACTGTGTAGTAATTGATAAATTACCAAAGCAAGAGAGCTTAGAAACTGGATCTATTACTGGATATAATTTCAGCTGTCTTTCTTTAATTAAGAAAAAATTAGGCATTCTATGCCTTTTTACTTTGGTACTTTCATATACATTTCAAACAAATGCAGCTCCCTAGACATAGTTTTGCTCCAGGATAGTTCCAAATAAATACCCCACCCATGAGAGATAAATGGTAAAGCAACTGTAAATGGAGTAATAACTGAATGTTAAGAAGAAATCAGACTTGAGCAAGAAGAAGCACTACCTTAATGAGGCGGCGTTTAATGAGCTGCTGATCAGCAGAGAGAAACCCATGATTGATTTTAGGAAACACCATCTGATCAGTCAGGTGAGGTCAAAGGTTGAAGTTCAGAGGTGAGAGAGTTGGAGAATAGACATCAGAAGGCCCCAAGAAAGAAATAAAGATATACATATTAGACTTAGAATGATCATTAAACAAAATGGAACTGGTGCTTGTGTCTGACGTCAGACTTTCTCTTCTTGTAAGAAACATAACCCAAAAATGGGACGGCGAGACCAGATTTGTAGTCAGAGAGGAGTCTTTTGTGTATCCCATCATTTTGCCGTGGGCGTTAGGTCTCTTTAATGCAGCCTATGAAAGAAGCAGGAACGCTCCTATCACCCGCACCCTGCAGACTGAGCAGAAAGTCCGGAAACAAAGCACCAGTTCCAATTCTGTCAGACTTGTCAACCAGCATAACGTGGCATGAACGCAACTGCCATTTTATAAATGCCCGAAGTCCAGAGTCCTGAGGGTTCTTTAATTGACCGAAAAATGTCACAGAGTGTTGGCATGCATGCAGATCAAACCATCGAGGTGTGGCACCACCCTAGACGGTCATGCCTGCCTCTCTTCATTATCCCTGCTCGACTTCAATGTCCTTCTCTCTTCTATGTTCACGATTCTCCCCCTCTCAATAGCTATTTGGCCTCGTTGATGTAGGTGAGGTCCCAAGGATCCAAGACCTCAGTGCATATGGTGAAAGGGAGCAACTGGACTTGGCAAGCCAATTTAGCTGTTCTTGCTCACTCTTATGCTGATTGCAGGCTCTGACTGAGCAGCAATGGGTGTCAACCACAAACCTTGACGGTGAGGATCTGATTACTGTGCAGAGCAGCAACTGTGGGGAAGCCTGGTAGACCCTATGGACGTGGGACAGTACCAAAACAACACGACACAAAACGTCACACAGACATCCCACTGATAGACAAACAAAACAAGCATGTACCTAAGACCACCCTGTCCCGGCTCTAAGTCTTGTCTTGTTTGACACACTGTACAGGAAATCAGACACACAAGGCACCCCAGCAAAACATTCCTTTAGTGGGAAGGCCAGATTGAGAACTCATTGTAACTTGCCCTGTGGCAGTTACACTGGGATCTGTGTACACACTCTTAACAGTTCTGGAATCTTACATACAAAATGTTAGCACAATATGGAGATAACTGCAGACACTGTTACGAAAACAACACTGTAATTTCCCTCCATTGATATTTTGTTTACAACTCAGGACATAACATATATTAATTCTTTTTTGGACAACGGTGAACAGGATTTTGCAGTCTGATCAGAAATATTCCTCAGAATAAATGCAGTCCTCCTCACAAAAGATAGTCTTAGCACCCACATATCAAAATTTCTCTCTCCAATCACACGATGATTCTCAGGTCTTTCCTGTTTCAGGAATTCCTGCAGAGGTGGTGGATGGAAATCTGTCTCTTATAACATGCGTATTTCATGTCAGAGGGATTTATGGTCACACTCTGCAGTAATCGCTTCTGTCACGTAACTTTTCCAAAAGAACTTGACAGTTCACACAACCCCTTGAAGCAGAAAAGTGGTTTCTGAATTCCTTAACCAGGGAGAACGGGGGAGAGATGTTTTAGACACTCATACTTCACTAACTTGTGCTAACTCGTGTTCACAGGCGTTACCAATTGGGTAGGTCTGAGAGAGAACTCTCGCCTTTGTTCTGTTTCTTTTCCAACAACATGAGATATTGGAGCCTTTTATTCCAATTCTTTTTTCACACAGAACATGTTTATCATACAAATAAAATCAACAGCAACCACAGCTTACATGGCCTCAGGTGCCTGCAGGCTTCCTACACGTTCTCTTCTCGCTGCCCTTCCCCTCTTCCGCCCAAATCTATTCTGAGGATATTTTTAGTGAAGGCCAGTAAGTTTCTAGTTCTTAAATGTTATTAATCGTGGTATGTTTTTCTCCCCTATTTCCCCCTTATTTGGGATATATTTTCCTTTTTAAAAGAACCAATAAAATTATGTCTGTGGTATGAAGACATCTCTTTAGCCCTAATGCCTTTGTGCTTCATTCCTTAGAGCTGGGACTTCTCAGGAAGCAAAGCAGGGGAAATCTTAATCTGTTTTGCCAAATCCTTTCTGATAAGGCTATTGAGTTTCTGGGTAATTTTGAGGTGACCTGTATCTTCTTTTTCTTCTCCCAAAGTAAAAGTCCTTGAAACATAGACGCTATCCAAATTCAGAAATGCTACAAGTTGGAAAACAGATGTGTACAATTTGCTTTTGTTTTACTATGGAATATGAGCTTAAAATGTTATTGGATGGTAATGTGCCAGCATCTTTCCATCTGTGACTCATTAGCCCTATATTACACAGTCAGAATTTTATATATAAATCTCATATTTATGTAACAAAGAACAAAAACAGATACAAACAAGAAGTCTATGAGGGATCAGAATCTTGACTAGTGGCAATAAATCATAATGTCACTTTGAACAGGACTATCTTACAAAAATAGTTTAAAATTAAAAGGCTTTTAATAGCATACATGGTAGGCCTTACAAATGTTTTGAAATTTGAATGTATAAATAAGTCACTTCTTGTACTCCTATCTGAGCACGACCAGCTTGCTGTTTGATCATATTTTCTAAATGCTCACAAAAAGCATTAGTTTTATAACTTCTTAGTTTGGTTTCCAGGGTTAACGAGATCTAAAGAGGAAAGTGGATAGGTAATTCTCTCCTTGGACAGGTCCTTTTCATCAAACAGAAAATCTCTATTTGAGGAAGCTGATTTTATATTCCTCAATCATCTTAACTGTAGAAAATGCTACCAATTAGGTGCTTAGAGCTACATTTTGAAGATTTTATTAGTCAGTTAGGCAAAAGGACTTCAGAAGTTTATATGTAACAGAGTAGAAAGAGACATGTGGAAGAATTCTCTTAAATTCTAACAAAAGTCCCATGGCCTGGGCTGTAATATCCTAGGACCCTGTGCTTTTCAAACCTAGGCAATGCTTGAAGGGTACATGCCAGTGTTGGGCAGGGGGAAGGCGGGGGTGGGGGTAGATAAGGGTTATTTAAAGGCAATAATAAATATGGCATATCTTCCTTAAGATTCAAGTTTGATAAACGTTAAATAATTTTAAATTTTTATGTAAATCAAACATTGTCATATTATGGGGTAGAATGCAAAATTTGTACAAATTTTTAAAAATTTTACCATTTGCTGGTGGTAGAGAACTTCATGCCACAGGGGATACCTCTAGATTACAGGTAGATACTGAACTGACCCTCTCCTTCCCACGGGAGGTCTTTGGAGGATAAGTTTGAAAAGTACTGGTGCCGAATACTTATCTTTAAGTAATGGCTTTACGTGGCCATAACAGTTAGACTTCCCTGGCTGTTCACACAGAGTGTACTTTTTCATTAACTATGCCATTTTTTCCCACAGTATCATTAGTCATAGTCCTTTCTAAATAAATGGAATGGACATATTTCACTTGGTTTTACATCTTGGAAAGCTTGCCTGGTACACAGATGGTTCAACTGGGTGTGGGGAAAAAAAAAATTTGTCTCCGGAAAAGCATGGAGAAAGAGTCCAGGAATAAGCTGAAATGCTGAAATAATGTGTACAATTTTCACTCCCAAATATTTTGAATTCTTAAGAAATTGGATGTACGAGAGTATAAAACTACCTTCCACAACCTATTTTCCTCTTGAGGGCCTACACAGACAACTTCACGAATCTTCCTGACATTCCTCAAAGTAGGTTACAATCTCAGACCAGTGTTTTAACATCATTTTAGGAGGAGTTTTATGTCCCTTCATTACCTTCTAGAAGCAAAGAGGGAAGCCTACCCCAAAGAAATGCTGAACAAATAGATATTTCATAAGACATGCTCCTAACTACTTAGAAGTCATAAATTCAAGATGCTATTATTTATTGTATACTCAGTAATGGTGTTAGATGATTACATTATAGTGAGAAAACTTTGTGTTTTGTCAAAAGTATTCAATAAGGCAATGTTAGAGCCAGGAATTTAATCCATGACTTCTAATTCCAGACTTTGTCATCATGCAGTATATGTGTTTATAATTTCTTTCTACCTTTACAGTTTGAATATTAGAAATATCAACAATATGTAAGAAGTATTTATTGAGTGCCTTCTGTGCAGCATTTGCTGTACTAGGCGAGGGTAAGCATGACCACAAGCTCACAGGGGTCAAGATCTAGAGGAGAAATAGAAAAAAAGAAGCAGGCAGTAATCAGATGGAGGGGTGACCATTTTGGTGAAGGAGAGGGGCTACAAAGTAAATAAAATGTACCTAATGGCAGATTTGAGGAACCCTGGAAGAATTCCCAAGCCATGTGAATGAGGGAATGGGAGTTAGTACAGCAAGAGGAAAACTAAAGACAGAGATCCCATTTAGGAAAATATCACAATAGTCTAGTTGAGGGACTGGGCCCTAGAACTAGAGAAGGGACAAATCCAAAGTTTCAAGTGATATTAAGGAGGTGGGATTCACAGGACTTGTAGTCTGGCTGAGAGCAAAAGGGAGAAGGAGGAGCGGTGAGTGGTCCTAGGTCTCTAGCCTGAGCAGTGGAGGATGGTAGAGGAAACACTAGAAAAGAATGGGTTTTCTGGGGCAGCTAGGTGGTTATGGATGACGAATTCAGTTAGGGACCTATTGAATTTGAGGTGTCTATGAACAGCCAAGGCATGGCAGTTAGATATGCATATAAAATAGTCAGGAGAGAGGTGGGATTCACAAGTCTAAGGGCTGCTGAAGTCACGTAAAGAGGCTGTAGAGAGAGCAGATTTAGAAAACAACTCTTGGGAAGACTTCAATTTAGGGATGAGCAGAGGAAGAAGCAACTACAAAGAGAAATAATAAGTGTGGTTGTAGAAGTAGGAGGAACGCTAACTCACCTCACAAAAAATTCTATACAGGCAATGATTCAAAATGACTCATTAATGAAAACTGCATTAATTAATTGTGCTGTATAAATAAATATACATGAACTGAATTCCTCCACTCACTGTTGCACTGAGAGGTACTCTAGAAGCTCACAGTGGCCAATGCCACCAACAGTGGATGCTCACTAATATGCACAGGGGAGTATATCTGAGGTTGTAGAGGTATAAAGGAAAAATTAAACTATTAATTATAAAAGTGGACAAGGAACCTCAAGAGCAAATCATATTGGAAGAAAAAATATATTACGCTGAGAAATGAAAATCCCTGAGTTTCTCCATAATGGAAATAGTATCATGACTCTGCTAGCCTCAAATATATCATGCATTACAACACAACAATTACAGTGGGTATGTGTACAGCATAAATAAAGATGAATATTCCTAGAAGTTGATAAAACAATTTCTAGCTAAGAGAGACCAGATGGGGAAACATTGTAATAGGATGCAAAAATATTTAGGTAAAAGAATAACTTTAGTTTAACAGCAGGAACTGCTAGAAAGCAAAATAAGGAAAGAAAAAAAATTAAGGAAAGGAATTTGCTGCTAAATCATTTCATATTGCAGTAGATGGTATACTCTGTCTGAATAGAAAAATCAACTACATGAAGCTAAATAGCTAATGGAATCCTTTGAACAACCAAATACCATGAACCTATGAAAATCAGAATTTATAACTGAAGGAAAAAGATTGGCTTATGGAAATATTAATTATGGGAAGAACTAGCTTTCTGAGTTGAATATAATATTGGCTCAAAAAGTTAATTTCTTTTTTTTACAGATACTCTAAGTTCCAAGCTATTGGGTTCTATCATAAATGTTAATCCCAGCCACTCCAAGAATTATCTTTTTGTATATAAATGATACATCTGAATTTGAAAATTATTTAGAAGAGAAAGAGAA